TCTCGTAGGTCCCCGGGCCTGCCCCCCCACCTGCATGTCCGAGGCCAGCGTCTCGTAGGTCTCCCGCAGGCAGTGCCAGTTCTGCCGGCCCAGGGTCAGGGCCACGCCCGGCAGGCTGTAGGCGCAGTGCTTGGCGATCTCCGTGTCGACTGTCTGGGCCCGGGAGGGGTCGGTCATGGACAGGTACTGGTCCAGCAGAGCCTGAGGTACCACATCCTAGGGGAGGGGCGGTGGGGACACAAGTTAGGGTCACTCATCTTCGGCGCACGGAGTTAACGCAGCATCTCAAACAGCAGAGAGAAACCAATCTCAGTCTCAGGAATCCAGTCACTGCAAGAAGAAACCAGGCGGACAGAAATACCCCCGTCAGCAAAGAAAAGCATCTCCGGGACAAGGACGGCACGGGGCACCTGGAACGGAAGCGCTCTGAGGGCGGTCCGCAGGGCTGACGCGAGCCCGCACCTGCAGCCGGGGTGGAGGGCGGAGCCGACGAGCCCCAGCGGCAGAGGGACAACAGGCCCCTCTGCGCAATCACCAGCAAGGACTCTAACGCCACCGCCGCCACCGCCTTGAGAGGGAGACCCAGCAGTTCTCTACAGGACGTGAAGTGCACGTGCATCTTAACCCTCTGCAGGAGCACGAGGACACACGCGGTCTTACTCAGGCAGGTGGAACACAGCAAGGAAGGAGCCGCACTCACGGTACAGCTGGGGAAAGGGCAAGTGGGAGGAGAAGCTGAGCAGGAGCTGAATTCTGGGCTCTGTAAACGCATTATTTAAAAAATAAATAAAGCAGAGCTCCATTGAAGGGATGAGACCATACGTAGTGGCTCGAAGATACGTTTACAAGTAAGTGGTGAAAAGCCTATGTGAAGCAGGGCCAAACCTGGTGAGAAACGGGTTTAAACATGGAAACGACCACAGCCACACAGGACACGGCGTCCCGGCTGCTCACCTGGACTCTGGGTCTCCTCTCCTCGTCGGGGCTGAAACCGCCGTCGCTGCCCAAGTCCGGATCGTGGCGCATGTAGCAGAGGGCGGAGTCCACGTCCTGTCGGGACACACAGGCACTAAAGGACCGTCCTGTCGGCTTCCTGCATCCAAACTACACTGCTCAGTCACTCACCTTTCAAGACGGCCAAGAGATACGAATACGTACAAATTCTTTGTGCTTTTAAACATTTAAAACACACCTAAGACCACATAAAAACATCCCCTGCCTTCAAACATGCACAATAGGTTGCTAAACATATGAAAATAAATTCCAAAATGAATGTAATTCAAAACTAAACTCAGAAGTAATTTTGAAAAGGCCCCCAAATCTAAAATTGTTCATTAACAAAACAGCATTTAGCCAGAGAGAGTCAACTGCTCTAACAGCCGTGCAGCAGCACCTGCAGTTTCTGTTCTGTTCTTTTCTATCCCGGCTACCACTAATTGCACAAGTACATTTTATTAACAGCCCCTGCACCCCCCAAAAAACCTCAAATGAACACAAAACACCTTCTAAAACACAGAGGCATTGCACTCAAATTTGCAACGATGCTCAGTGGTTAGGTTTCCTCTGCAGCCCTGGTATCACTCGAGCCCTCTAACTGTGCCACATGTCATCTGACAGAAAACAAGCTCCAAATCCACCAACGCCTGGGGCCCTCGTGTGCCCCTACGCGCACGTGGACACTGCTCCCTGAGCTGACTGCTCGAGCTGCCCTGACCTGCAGCCACCCGACTCTGGCAGCCAGCAGTGTGTTCTGGCTCCATTTACATCAACAAGGGATGAGAAGGGCCGAGACCCAGCGGTGCTGGCCTGGCGGGCGTGGGAGGAAGCTGGGGGACAGCCGTGCACAGGGAGGGGACGCTGGTAACAGTACCCACCCTCACACTCCAGAGTCCAGATAATCCCGCAACATGGCCTCAAGTCCCGATCTTCCGCTCAGAACACTGTTGCTCGCAGCAGTGAAATGGTCCACTCAGAAACAAAGCACCTCTCCAAAAAGAAAAGGGAAGAGTTAATGATTCTTGATAAAGGGCTTTGTTTCCGGGAAGACTATTTCACTGCGGTGAGCTCCGTTAACACAGACCCTGCTGACGTGGTCATGGAGACGGGCCCGGGATTTCTAGGACACCGGAGTCACAAAGGCGGGAGGTGGGGACGGTTACTCTTACTTTGTGTGAAGGGGGAACTGAGACAACTGCTGACAGACAGAGGACGTGCTAACTGGGAAGTGAGCCACGGCCGTTCCCCCACAGAGCCTCCAACTCCACCGTCTCACTGACGACCCCTGTGCCCCTCGTTACCTCAACAGCATCGCTGATCAAAGGCACGGAGGCTTC